GGTTAATAATCTTAATTTACTAAGTATTATATATAGTAGTAGTAATAATATACTTCTTAAACTAATTAAAGATCTCTTTCTATTTATTATTACTAAATTTATATATATTATAAAGTAGGAAGGTAGTAGTAATAAAGTTAATAAAGTATAGCTATTTTTAGTAATATATATAGTATTTCTCTTAGATAGCTAGCTATTTAATTTACTACTTACTTATAGCTTAGAAGGTTTACTAAATAGTAGTAATAAAGTATTAATAGCTAACTATATAGCTTAAATTAGATTAATTAGCTTCTAAAGTCTTAATAGTTTTATTAATAAGCTTAAGAAGTATTTAGAAGTAGTTTATTTATATCTAAAAGAACTTATTAATAATAATACTAATAATTACTATAGTAAATATAAGGTTATTACTTTAGTTTATATTAAAGTGTTATTTAAGTATATTTTTAAAGGTAATATAAGTTAATAAAGCTACTTTAGATTAGTTAACTAATTAGAAGTATTACTCTATATTACCTTACTATATAAAACTTAATATTAATAAAGATCTCTCTTTACTATAGAGTTAATACTATATCTCTTATAAGTAAGCTAATTAGAGCTTTAAGTTCTAGAAAAAAGTAATAATTATAGTAGCCTTATTAATAATAGGGTGAAACTTTAATAGATAATAGATATTACTAATAAAAAGGTTAAGTTTATAAGAATTATAGAGGGTAAGTAAGTAATAAATAAAGCTTTTTTACTTTAAGAAGTAGATATAAAAGAGTCTTATAGTTAAATTAATATTTATAGTTATCTTATTAATATATTAGAGGTTAGTAATACTACTAATAGTAGTAATCTTTTTAAAAATAAATAGAAGTTTAATAACTAAAGTAGTAGTATTATAAAAGTAATCTTTTATAGCTTAAGTATACTAATAAAAAGTAAAGCTATTAAGTATAATAACTAAGATATTAATAATATAACGCTTAGTAGTATTATTAAAAGTATTAAAAATAATATTAATATAAAGTAAGTTATTAATAATAGCTTTAACTTTAGCGTATAATTTACTATAAATCTTAAGTAAATAGACTTAATAAAAAGTATATAACTTAGGAAGCTACTAATTATACTTAATTAAGTGAAAAAAATTAAAGGTTTAATAGTTTTTATATATAGTTAAGTAATATCTATTAGTAAATATAATAAAAGCTACTTTATAATTAGCTTCTTTAATAAAGTTTAAAAACCCCTCTAAAGTTATTATAGTAACTATAATATAGAAAAGTAGTACTAAATATATTTAAGTATATAAGTATTAAGGATACTTAAAGAGATATTCTCTCTAATATATTATATTAATAATAGTAACTTAGTTATAATAAATATATTACTCTTTAGTATACTTAATATTAAGAAATCTAAAGTTAATATAATTATAAAAGTACTACTTAATATAGTATATTTTAATTATAAGAGGTATTATTATATATAATAGTGATAATTTTAGTATTAGTAGTATATAAAGGGAAAAAAACGCTAAAAAAGCATACTAGCTAGGAATTTAGGGGTTAAAAACGCTAAACGCTAGCCTAATTAGGTAAAGTAGCCCGGATTAATACGTTATTCTGGGGGTGGAGTTAAAAGTAGCTGCTTTTATTAGCTAAAGCAAAAAGCATGCTTTTTTAAAAAAAAAGCTGATTTTTGGGAACACTGGCCTCAAGGTGTGGCCAGACCTGGTTGCCGCCGTGGTCCCTGCCTTCCACCTTACCTAGCCGTCGGTCTGGAAACCGCATTTTCCCATCTGCGCCCCACCTGTCCACCTACCCACCTGCCGTACCCTAGCTGCTCACACTGCACTGCACTGTGTGCGTCGCTGGTGCTGGTCGCTGGTCGCTGGTCGCTGGTGCCGAGGGGCGGGACGGTGTAAGTCGGGCGGTCGTATCAGTCAGTGGAAGAGAGAAGGGAAAAAAAAAAAAAAAAAAAAAAAACATCCATGAGTGAGTGTGCTGCCCTCCTCCTCCTCCTCCTCGACTCCGCCGCCCGTCATCTGCATTCCTCCCACCAAGACAAGACATCCACTTGGTCGTGCTTCACCACGCACTCGCCGGGCCTTGCTTCCCGCTTTCATCCGCCATCCTTCTTTTCTTCTAGCTCCACCTCGCACCCCGGGCCTCTGCAAGCGCCTCTATCAAGCTCCCCCGAAACGCCGTTATCGTACACGGATCCACGTTGAGGAGTCAATATTTACCTCCCCTCCCTCCTGTTCCCGCTCGCTGCCGCATTCCTCTCTTCATTCCTCTCTTCCTCATCTCCATCGTCATCATCTGAGAACGGACGCCGCCTCTTCTTGTGTCTCTGTGTCGTATAAGACTCAACCGCCGCCGGACCAGGAGAACAGGAACGTGTAGCACAATACACGCATTTCGACTTTGCACTCTTCCAGTCCCTACGTTCCTGTAGATTCTTGTCGAGTGTTCTGTCGCATCGTAAGACTTGAATCAAGTCGAGAGACAATGGCCCTGACCAAGCAGAAAAGCCTTCGCAACCCAGACGACTTCCCTACCGCACAGTTTTTCCTCCTTGGTGAGTCTCACATTCCCCCCTCTTCCCATGCTGGAATTCTTCACCACGCCTTGAGACCTACACTCCCGCGTGCCAATCAGTTTCCATTACTAACACCGCATTCTCAGCCATCGTCCGTCTTGCCGAGCCCATCGCCCTCACATCCATCTTTCCCTATGCTTGGGCACTCGTCAAGAGATTCGAGATTGGCAACGCTGAAGATGCATCATTCTACGCCGGCCTTCTCATCTCCTCCTTCTCCCTCGCGGAGGCCCTGATGGGCATGTACTGGGGCGGTCTGTCTGACCGTATCGGACGCAAGCCCGTACTGCTCCTGGGATGCATCGGCACGATGTTCAGCATGGTCATGGTTGGCTTTGCCTCCAACATCTGGATCGCCTTGATCGGCAGAGCCCTCGGTGGCCTTCTCAACGGCAACATCGGTGTCATCCAGACCATGGTCGGAGAGTTAGTTACCAAGCCAGAGCACGAGCGTAAGATACCATCCCCTTCATACTCACTTATACGTCCCACTAAACAAATATAGCCCGCGCCTTCTCTGTCATGCCCTTCGTGTGGTCCATTGGCACAATCATTGGTCCCTTTATTGGCGGTACATTTGCCGATCCCCACGATGCTTTCCCCAACGTCTTCCCCGTCGACGGCCTGTTCTACCGCTACCCCTACCTTCTTCCTAACCTGGTCTGCGCCGCACTCCTGTTCGTCAGCATCATTCTCGGTTATTTCCTCTTGGAGGAGACCCATCCCGACATGCAACCCCGTGTCTTCCTCCCGGATGACACCTTTGCTTCGGAGGAGACTCCCCTGCTTGAGACCATGGATGCCATGAAGAGACCCGCTGTCGATATGAGAGACGACAACTACGGAACCGTCCGCGGTCGCGACGCTCAGGCTTCCGCCAAGAAGGCCGACCAGCCGTACAACATCTACACGAAGCCTATCATGTCGCTGATTGCCGCTCTTTGCATCTTCACCTACCACTCGATGACGTACGACCACCTCCTCCCCATCTTCTTCGAGGACGATCGAGCCACGGCCAACCCCATGTCCATCCTCGCCACCCCTTCGAGCCCGTTCTACTCGCCCGGTGGACTGGGTCTGTCCCTCCGCGCGGTGGGCATGATCATGGCCGTCAACGGTGTCATCGCGCTCTTCGTCCAAGCCGTCATCTTCCCCTTCGTTGCCGAGAAGCTTGGGATCTTCCGCCTCTTCATCATCGTCACCGTCCTTCACCCGATTGCCTATCTCATGGTCCCGAGCCTGCTCTTCGTCCCCGAATCGATGCTCTATGCTGGCATCTACTTCTGCCTGGCGATCCGCAACATCATGTCCATCATCCTCTACCCGGTACTCCTGATCCTGATCAAGGAGGCCACCCCGACTCCCAAGGCCCTCGGCAAGGTGAACGGTCTGGCCGCTAGCGCCGCCGCCGGCTTCCGCATGATTGCCCCGCCCGTCGCCGGATGGTTGTACACGACTGGAAGCAAGGTCGACTGCACGGCTCTGGCTTGGTACGGCAGCGCTGTTGTCGCCGTCATTGGTGCCATTCAGTGCTTCTCCGTGAAGCGCCAGCGCAAGGAGGAGATGTGCGAGGAGGACGCCCAGCCCATCCTGCGCAAGAAGGAGTCCCGAGTCACAGTCACGGAGGTGTTTTCGGATGACGAATGAGCACGTCATGAATGAATGCCACGAAATACACGACGATTTTTGGATGAGAAAAGGGGTGCCGAAACGAGGTCGGTCGGGGTTTCAAAAGACTTTCACGATCCAGCAAAAATAGCGCGGTGGATAGAAGGGGAGTTTGCTTGATTTTTTGGAAAAAGAACACATGACGGCGTCAAAGGATATGGATTTACGGATGACGGAGTTTGAATGGGTTGATTTTATCGGATGCCTCGTATAGACCAGATATCCCTCGTTGGCCGAAGCGAGCATGGTTGGTTGGGTTGGAGTTAGGCTGCATTGGTTCAGGCGCAGAGGAAAGCCAGTTGACATAGCGTATGCGCTCTAATAGAACTGACTTGTTTCAACATTGCAACTAGCCCGGTGTGACTCAGATTTTCTGCAGACATTTTACCTTTTTACAAGTCGTGCGAACAAAAGATTGAAAGTGTGACGATCGGATTGAGTTGAAGTTCGATCAAGTTCTAAACTTCTCCATCAACTCCAGAATTGCATGGGGCGTCGCACCACCCAATGAAAATCGCCACCGCAAGACCACACAACCTTGGAAACTCACTCACCCCCAAAATTTTCACTCACACAAGGAGTCATACGGCGTCACACAACCCATCTCAAGTGAGATAGAGTATCCGCGGCAACACCCAATCAAATCACAGCAAACTCATTCCTCAAAAATACCATTATTGCCAGAACCAAAAACACAATACAGAGCTGCGAAACCCCTCAAGAGCGCCGCCAAAATGGTGCAAATCGACGAAATCACAGATCAGATGGCCGACGCCTTCATCGCCGAGCAGGAGCGTAGGCAAGCCGCAGCCGCCGCCTCCGCCCCCGCCGGCGCCAACCGCGGCGCGGCCCTGCCCCCCGGCCACGCCCTGCTCTCCGGCAAGACGGCCGACGAGATCCTCAAGGACCTGAACAAGTCGCCGCTCTTCATGACGGAGCTCGAGGAGAACGACGACCTCGCCGCGCTCCAAGCCCTCGCCTACGAGGGTACCCCGCGGGAGAACGCCGAAGACTTCAAGGAGCGCGGCAACGAGCGCTTCCAGACGAAGCAGTTCTCCGACGCGAAAGAGTTCTACACCAAGGGCATCGACATCCTCGCGGCGCAGGAGCGCGCGCGCGCGCGCGGCGAGAAGACGTACCGCACGCAGAAGGTCACCGAGGCCGACAAGCCCGGCGACGCGGACGTCGTCGAGGAGAAGGAGACGGAGGTCGAGGACGACGAGGAGGAGATCGCGAAGCAGAAGGCCGTGCTGGAGAGCCTGTACGTCAACCGCGCCGCGTGCCAGCTTGAGCTGGGCAACTACCGCTCGTGCTGGATGGACTGCGGCTTCGCGCTGCGGCTGAACCCCAAGAACCTGAAAGCTTACTACCGCTCGTCGCGCGCGCTGCTCAAGGTCGAGCGCATCGCGGAGGCGGACGACGCGTGCGCGCGCGGGATGGCGATCGACCCGGAGAACAAGGCGCTGCAGGCCGTGGCGCGGGACATCCTCGCGGCGGCGGAGCGGTACGACGCCAAGGCGAACCGGGAGGCGGAGCGGGCGGCCAAGGAGAAGCGGCGGGCGATGCTGCTCAAGGCGGCGCTGGCGGCGCGGACGATCCGCACGCGGGAGACGGCGCAGCCGCCCGAGATGGAGGACGCGCGGATGCGGCTGGTGCCGGACGAGGACGACGCCGCGAGCAGCCTGAGCTTCCCGGCCGTGTTCCTGTACCCGGTGCACCTGGAGAGCGACTTCATCAAGGCGTTTAACGAGCAGGAGTGCGTGGCTGACCACCTGGCGTACATCCTGCCGGTGCCGTGGGACGAGGAGCGGGCGTACACGCCGGACGGCGTCGAGTGCTACATGGAGACCGTCAAGGGCGGCCTGGTCAAGGTCGGCAAGAAGGCGCCGCTGCTGAAGGTTCTGAGCGGGGGCAACGTTGAGGTTGTGGACGGTATTGTCAGGTTCTACATCGTGCCTGCGTCCAAGGCCAAGGGCTGGATTGAGGAGTTTAAGCTGAAGAAGGCGGCAGAGAAGAAGTAGACGGCTTAAGCCATTTGACGATGCAAGGGAGAGGGGAAAACGAACGGGAATCACGATTGGTATGACGGCAGAAAAATCATTGGCGTTGGCTTTGGTTATTAGACACTTTTCATCAACACTCCACAATCCACCTCACCCACCCCCGAGTACATTGGAAATTGTCGTAAGACCTGCGTCGTCCTAGTCTAAACCCAACCCCGGCCCCCAAGTCCACAAAGAAAGACATTACAAATGCGCGAGCGAAAGCAGGGAATCTACAGTACGTATTGTCTTTTCATATCATCAACTTCTCCCGTACTCCATGCTAGCTTACGCCGAAGTGGCTCTCCGCCGTTTGCTGCGGTGCGTATCCTGGCCGTCCACGTCGCTGAGGTACCCAGGCTCCTTCCGCGGAGCAGTCCGAAGCGTCATGAGTCCAAGAGCAGCGTTTTGCTCGGCAATCTCGGCGTCAGACTCGTCCTCGCGCCGCTGCTCCGACACGTAGCTCAGAGCCGGGCTGCTGCCGTGGGTGCTCTCGCCGCTGTCCCGGCCTCCGTCGCTCTCGTCGTGGTCCATGGGCCGCTTGTGCCATAGCGGACGCGGTGCGGTGGTGTGTCTGTTCAACGGGGTGAATCGAGGCACGGCACTCAGGTAGGGGTGGGGTGAGCGGTAGCTCTCATCGACCAGACGGTACGGCTCGGCAGGGCGGTTGGCAGGCGTCCAGCCAGATGTGGGAGGGGGCGGATGGCGCAGGGGTGGCGGCGCCGGGTGAAATCCGTAGCTGTAGCTGACGCTGTCCGAGCCGTTGCTTGAGGCCGAGTCGGGACATGAGCGGGCGTCTCCATCCGTATCGCTGTATGGGCTCATCAAACGAGTGTTGAGGCGGAGTCGTCTATCATCCCGCAGAGGACGCATCGGCCGGTGATCGATACTGGGCAGGTGGTTCAAGCCGACAGAAGGGAAACCGTGGTGTTGAACTTTCCTAGAGAGGTCGGCTTCTCTGATAGCATCCTCGACGATGCGGTGGTCGATGACCATGCGTCCGTAGTCCGGGGACCCGGGAGGGATACATATGGACGGGAAAGAGGGTCCAAATATCGGAATCAGGGCGCCGGCAATGTTGTAGCAAAAGGTTGCGCACACTGCCTTGGCACACTCATACGGCATCCAATATCCTGTTCTCATTAGCACGAAACTGAACCGTGGGAGACCAAGTCATCTTACCCTGCGCAGCAATAGCGCCGCCCGTGATGCTGTGGGTGATGTCCTTGAGGCCGGGGTTGAGGCTCAGCATCTTTGCCGGTACAGTCTTCCACCTGTTAGCTGCGTCACTGCAACGTATATGAAGAAGCTCACCTTTGAATACTTGCAGCACTTGAAAAACGGAGTCATGCGGACGAGACCGACGTTGTAATCCCACATGACGGTGAACTCGTTATCCTCACCGGGAACCTTGAACTCGTACTTGAAAACTAAGGGGCCCCGTCAGTAAAAAGGGCAAGTTTTGAGTACGCAAACCAACTCACCCTCAAAGCTTTCCCGGCCAGTCTTCTCGAAGAAGTCTTTCTTGCCGCTGTTGTAAGGGATGTGGGCGCAAGATTCCTGAATTCGGCCGAAAGGGGTGACGCGGAATCTCATCAGGTCTCTTCGGCTCAGCTCGTCAACGCTTTCGAACGGGTAATACTTGATGACGCCTCTCGGTTTGTACTTGGACATCGGGACCGGGTCCTTGGACATCTTGAGCTTGGGGATGACTGGGCAGTCCAAGTAAGGCGGCGAGGGTCTGTCGGCGTAGCAGCTTCCCGGCGAGGACATTGCTGGACTTGGAAGGAACCGAGGAGCAGGAAGCGGCCCCGGGGACGATGGGTTAAGAAGAGAAGAGACGGAAAGCATCTTGCCGGCCTGTTTGTAAAGGGCGAAGGATGTCTTGGAAGTGGTGTAATGCTGCGATGCGGGAAAAGGGTTCCTTCCTGATGAACAGGCGGCCAGGCGGAACTTGTTCCCTAAAAGGGGTGGGAAAGATGGGAGACTTAAGACAAGTCCTGCAGGAAGAAGCGAGACTTGTTGAGAAAGACGGGCAGACAACACCCCCAGGCTTTTCCTTTGGGCAATCGACAAACACTGAATGTCTTCGTTCCGGGGGTTGGGCGCCTCACCGTCCACGGACGTGCAGCACGCTGGCAAAAGTTTTCCAGGACAAGGGGCCCGAGATTGTCGTCTCTCTGGGAGGAACACGCACCCAAGTTCTGCAACGGAGCTTGCAGTCCAGTACGGGGGCTCTCGGAGGAGGAGGAGGAGGATGGGGGCTTACTGCCTGAGTTTCGGCGCTCTCGGTGCAGATTTCTTTGTCGTGGTGTCTTGGAATCGACCTCTCAGCATCCAAGGCTCCGTTTGTGCTCGGCCACCGCTCTTTCTTTTGGCGTATCGAGGTGAAGCCACGAAGTGAGAGATGATGGGTTTGATAGAGAAAGGAGGAGGCAACGTGGAGCGCCGACTGGTCATGGCCTAATATGTTTCTTCCAAGTAACTGTCGACGAGGTCAGGTTTGATCAAGTGATGTTACGTCGAGAAGTTGTGAGGTTGTGTGTGTTTTTGGCCACAAAGTTACCGGATGTATCGTCTCGGTAGTGGAAGACCGGATGTGCCAAACGGCCCCGGGGAAGCTTCCATGCAGCGGTCTCCGCACCTCTGCCAAGAAGGCTGGAAATGGTTGGAGAAGCCGTGTCATTGGAGGAGGGTCAGATGCGGGAATGAGAGACTTCCGTCTTGCTGAGCTCACGCCCCATGACCGCTATAGGCCTGAGATCGAGACTAGGCGGGTTTCATCAGATGCCACCAACTTGAGTGCTGGTCCGAAAGGGGCTTCACAGCAGACTTCGCTGCTCATTGCAGAGGCATCAGAGTCATTGGACAGTTTGCCAGTGCAAAACAGCGGCAGCGACCAAACAGGCAAGGGCACAGTGTTTGGAGGCGCACGGGGGTGGAATTCTCAGAGTGGGCTCGCGGATAGCTGCATAAAGTGCCATCCGGCCATTGAACCTAGATGGTTGTTCGAGATGGTGGAACAAAGCTGGTCCTCTTGCTACGTTGAAGATCTCAGGGCAACGTCAACTTGACTCGACACACGTGGATCGTCTTCCCTCCAGCATTTGACGGGGAGATGATGTTGTCGATGTTGGGTCGTGGCTGCATTGGATGGTGGTTTGCCATGTCAGCCAGGCTTCAAGAGCTCTGGCCCCTTTTCAATGAATACCATACAGCTCATTTTATGCAATGATGGTGGCTGGTCTTTCGTCAGACCGCTAGAGCCGGGGCCACTTCCTTTGTGGCCAGCCTATGTGCATATCCGTAGTCAAGCCAATGTCCTTCGTCAGATATTCCAAGGCCATTCGAGAAGTCTGGTATGATAGCATGCATGTATCGCTGCCATTGGGGAGGGGTGGTCGCAGCTGTCACCTTAGGGTCCTTGTCCTCCCCACGAGCTTGCAGGCGTACAAGCACAAGAAAAATGTCCGATGGGAAGCACAAAAAGCCGCTCCATCTGGAAGCACAAACCACACTCTTGCGTGCGTAGACTTATCTTCAAGAGGTCATAGCGTTTGGGTTTCCCGAATGGATGTGTTGTTGGGTAAAGTGGGAGCAGATGGTTTCGAGTAATGAGCGGGTTGGGTCTGGACGACATTCTGGAAGCCGGGACCAAGATTGGTAATTTTGCTCTTGTCCTTCACGCGTCTCGGCCGAGTTGCTGCAGTGACGCTGGGAATAGCATCAAGTCGGTACGTTGAAGAATGGACAGCGGCATTGGTCATGGTCGAGTCAACGACCCCTTGCTTAGCGCTGCGTTAATACCTGGTTAGGCATTAAGTTGATGCGGCTTCCCGCGCACCGCTACTTTCAATAAAAGTCGACCCCATCGCGGTCGCGAATCCCTGACCAAGCGTCGTTGCAAACGGAGATATGGCGAGCTGAATGGGGCCGCTTCTCAACGGAATAGCCAAGTCGCATAGCAGGGACAGGGGCAAGAGCACGACCACCAGTGATCGAATCCTTGGCATGGAAAGGCGAACTGGCACTTGGGCGTTTGACCAGATTTCCCCATCTTGATGGTTGATGGGAAATGGATGAACCCCACCAGCTCCCCACGAACGCTGCCGCGTTTGGACGCCACGGCTAGGTAATCCGGCAGGGTTATCTGAGGCTCCTGTAGTTGGGCAAGAATCCAAAACGAGCAGGCTACGGGTTGTGGAAGAATAACTGACAACTATGCCATTGCAGTTTCAGATGGAGCATAAGCTGTCTCGGTGACACCGCAGATAGTGACAGGAGAGAAGTGGCGAGGTCGCCATGCGCGGTGCGACGCAAAGAGTGATGCAGTGGCGGCTGTACGCATCGACTCCGGAAGACTTTTTGCTCTTTTGCCATGCAGAAGACGGCAGCTGGTAGCACGCCGCGTGTGTGCAAAGCGTGGTTGTGTAGCTTGGGCGGGCGGGATAACAGCTTCACAATTTTTCGCAGCGCGGCCAAAGGCGAAGCCAGCCGCTGCTCATGTGTCTGTCTGTGACGGGAAACGAGGCCGCGCGGGAGATGTCTCTCGTGTCCCGAAGCCGGACGAACGATGATCGGCAACGCTCTGTCAAGGAGGATGGACCTCTTGAATCCCTATGCTTTCGAGGCTGGCTAGCCGTTGGGGAGATGAAATCTAATGTAAATCCCTGCCGCCGCGAAACGATCAGATCAGGCGACCAGCCAACACCAGAAATTCGAAGGGTAAGGGTTGTCCCGCTACCTGAGTGAAGGAAGCGAAGCTTAAGTGATGATATGCGGAGAGACGACGAATGGTCCGGTGGTACTGACCTGAGGAGGCGACAGCGTTGCCTCACTCGGTGCAACCACACATCCAACGGTTCTACGAATACCGCTCGCCCTCGATGCAAACTCGTCGTGGCCGCCGCTGCACCACTGCTCCGTGTCACTGCATCGGAAGGAGAAATAAGTGTGTGGAGAAGTGAGAGCGTTTCGTG